AACTAATCTTTTAATGTTAGCAATGAAATATCTTGTCTTTAAAAATGGTCACATCGTTATGTAGCTGGCTGTTTCTTTTTGCCAGCTTTTCCTGTACATGCACTGTTTTTCAATCCTCTCTTCCTCCCTAGCATTTTCAAACAAGGAAGCAGCACGAATAAGCTCTTAAATTGTATTGATGGAGAAAGGCCATAGAAAATTTAATAAAGCTCAGAGCTAAATAAATTTTCATTTTTACATGCTGTGTCATACACATTTGCAGTACTCTCTCTTTTTCAATGCACTTGAGCCACCAGTGCAATATATTCTGTTGAGAAAGCCAGAGCACACACTGGAGCACTGTTTTGTTCAAGGTGGTACGACAGAGATGGATCTGGATCTGCAATATTTCCACTCTCTTGTATCACTGCAAAATGGCATCATCATTAGATTAGACCATATATTATTATTAAAAAAGAAAGAGCAACTCGCCCTTATCCCTGTTTTGTGAGGGTAGAAAGAAGGAACTCTTGGTTTTTGGAGCTTGGCGTGAGCGTGTTTTGCTGCCGGAGCTGCAATTGTGCAATTTCTACTCTGACATCTAGAGGCTGCTGTTTATTTTCTGTGGGCAGGATTTTTGTGGTTCCTCCTGTGACAGATTGCTGCTAAGAAGCCACAGGAATCGGATTTCTCAGGGTGAGAGTTCACTGTCATTGTGCTCAGCAGCACTGCCCTTCTGGGCTCGAGCACCACCAGCGAGGGCCAGTGTGACTGCAGTGCCCTCATTCCACAGCTCTGAGCAATCTAGAAAAGGACAGCAGACTGGGGAAAGGATTTAAACCAGCACCCAGTATGCCCAAGTCCTAAAAAACTACTCAAAGATTCACGCAAAAATGGGCCAGATATGTATATCTGTTTAATAATCTATTCAATGAAGTTAGCTAAAAAGAGTCGACCTTTAAAAAAATTCCTGTTTAGACAAAACTCTGCTTCCAAAAAGCAGCATCTACCCTGATACTCTAACTGCATCCTCAGCCTTTAATTGAGTAGGATGTCTGCTAGAGATCCAATTTTCCCTGGTCCCAGGTGCTGGCATCTGAAATGCACTTCAATAAGAATTGCAAGAAGGAATGACAGAAATCACACACAGAATTCCCTGGAACAGACTTCACAGGACATTTGCCCATAGTTCACATGGAATATTTCTGTGCTACAGTTGTTTTGCATTACAGGGCTGGGAACAAACACAGGATCCTCAGGAAATAAATGTGGAGGTGTATGTGAAGCAAATAAAGAGCAACACAATTCCAGCAGGAAAACCAGGACTGCCCTGGCTTCCTTCATTAAGTGCTTTCATTTCTTTCTTAGCATTACTACAGTAACATTACATAAAAAGAAAATACTAAGAACATTTCATTAGTAGTTGCAAATAAAACTTAACTTTGCCCTTGCAGCAGAAAACACAGGAAATATTAGTAAAATGTAGTTTATTCATTCAGAAACTGATTTTTCCCCATTCACTTTTTTTTTTTCCAATTTTGGAATCTATATGGTTTGTATAGAATTTAATGACCTGTGATGACACAAATAATATGTCACCCACCCAACCAAACATAAAATTCAGTAATACAATAGGCTTAATTCTGATTATTTCAACACACAAGCTTACTTCAACCAGGTAACAGATAAAAAAATATAGTGAAGGGTCAAACTTGAGCCAGAATAACACCAAGAAATTATTTTATCAGGTCTGTTTACTCCTTTGGGATTTACCACGTTCTTTTGGTTTTGTAACTGAAAAATTGCTTTGTTTCTCAGCATGTTTGGTTGAGACACTTTAAACACCTTTCTTGCCCTGTGCAAACAAATTTAGTAGAAGTATTAAATTTCACTTAAAAGCTGTCTTTCATTAGCTCCTGCAAGGTTTAATTGCAGTAATTTCTGGTTTTTGACAGAAGAGCTAAGCCTTGCCTATTCCTGATTCAAAGCTCACTAACATCTTCAAGACCTACTAGGCCTGAGTTTTAGAAGTCAGAGATGACATTACATTACCACAACTTAGAAACTCAGCCTTCTCTTCTTGTAAAATAGCAAATAAAACCACAGAGTTATTATTCGTTATATTTTTATTCTTTAAACTTTTAATTTACTGGTAAAACCACAAACAAAAAAAATCCACAAAACAAAACACACAAAAAACCAACCAACCCACCAAAAAACCTCAAACCCTAATTTGATATATATTTTGGGGGCCTTGAAGTAGTCGACAGAGCTGAAGAAAAGATTGTCTGAGTTACAACATAGAGTTCTAAGAAAATGCCCCTCAGTGCTAAACAATGACCACGAAAACCACTGTTAGGGTTATATAGAAATATACATATACACTTTGGAAAATATGGAATAAATCAGAAAATATCATTATGACACAATCTTCTGATCCCTCATCTCAAAAAGATTACATGGTGAAATTTTTAGAAGTACAGAAATCGGTAACAAGGACTGAGAAACCTGTGACAGCTTTTAATGACAAATGACTGGACAAATTAAGCCTAGAAAAAGGGAAAATTAAATGGTGATGTGACAGAAGTCTAAAAAAACTTTTAAAAATAAGAGGAGCACCTATTCACCTTTTTAAAACATTTTCACAAAAAGATTAACAAGAAGCAAATGACTACAAACATACCAAAAACACTGATTGCCATGGAAATCTTGTACACTAAGAATTTCCTTGGGTCACACCTTTTCTCCAGAGGTAGAATGGAAAAATATTAAAAATATGAGAGTAAAAAGTTCCAAGAAAAAGTACAATACTGGACTCAGGTCAAGCACTGTAACTTCTTTTTTAAACTTTAAATACATACCTTTTCCCAAACTGCTGATCCAAAATAAGCTCCAGGTTTTGTATTTTGAAACAGGTAGAATGGAGCAGGATTGTTCTTGCAAATGTGATTGATGAAGTTGAAAGTTTTCTAGAAAATTCAGTGATGCCTGATCCTACCCAATTATTGAATTGTCAGTTTTGTTTGAATTTCTATCTAAAGGCTTATTCATAGTACAGCTCAGAAACTTATCCTTCTACAGTTTCATATAAAGTGATTTTAAGCAAGCAGTTAGATAATACAGAAAGGCTTTAATCACATAGTCCTTCCTGAAGAAAGCTCAAACAACACCTGACTAGGTCCAGCATAATTTAGTTAAACTGTAGAGTTAAACTGTAAAGTCTGCAAGCATCTCCTTACACGAGCTGGACAAACAGAGACAACTCCACAAACTTTTCAGCACTTGCTTTATTAATTTTTTTCTGTCAGGAAATTAAAAGTTCAGTTAAAAAAGGTCAGAGTCTGAGATATTCCACACAGATCAAACCCAACTTCAGTGACATGAGAAGTGCTGTAGAAAGCACATTGGTTTATCCTCCCCCCCCCTTTGATGGCCTGTCTGTTCTAACACATACCTGCCCTCTGAGGTTGGCCATTCTGCTTCCCTACTTAAGCTTCCATCTATCTGCAATTGGTTCAACTGTATGAATGTGCAAAAATTGGGACATATCTTTTTGCTCAGGATCATCCTGTCCCAAGACACTTCTTTAACCACTTCTATGTTCTCCTTACTTGGTTTTCTTTTCCAGCCTCCTGTTTAATGACCATTTTGAGCCAGGTAATAACATCCCATCAGCCTGATCCCCAGGGCCACTATTTCAGCTGAGCAAACAGAACTGCTCAAACAGTCCCCTTTCAAGAAATGCTTCCTTCAAACATCTTTAAATCCTCCTGACAATATCTCAAACCACGCATTCCTCCTTATTGTCAGAGATGAGAATAACTCACTTGAGTTTACCTCAGCCTTGGTTTTTATTAAACCTCTCCTCCTTAGCTTGGTGTAGGCGTCTTCACCAGGGAGTTCATCCCAAGTCACCACTCTTGCTGAGCCAAAGAACCAGCAGTGGGCTCCAAGCCAACATCACCAGGATGTTTTTACCCCAGGTTTACGTCCCAAATGCACGCAGGCTACACACAATTAGTTTGAGATCTATTCTCTAGAATAGAATGGGCTCTCTATTTCATTAAGGGTTCACGATTTCAGAGCTCTTGGATTATCAGCTGAATCTCTTGTGTCGCTCTCATTCTTTCTTCTGTTTCAGATCTAACCCTCAGGGTTAGTCTCCTAACTGTTTTTCCAGTCCTCTCCATGTCCCCTCTTTCCCTCTGGATTTCACCTCCTTGCTATCCCCACCATCCATTTCCCCTATGCAGTTAGTTTCTTATATTGCTTCTCCATAGTTTCTTCCTGTGTCTCACACGCCCATTTTTCCAATGTCATTGACTGAGTGAGGGTGTCTGTAGGAACACTGTGAGGGTGTCTGTAGGAACACTG